TCATGTTTGAGTAAAATACACCTACATATATAGGCAAAGCAAGTATTCACCAATTCAAAAACCAATTGAGATTAGTACTATTAAAGAGAGGCAAAGAACCTAGCCAGCTTATCCAATATGAATTATAAAAATATGAATGAAAAAATAAAGGAAATAATTAAAAATGAAAACTTGGGCAGATTTATTCATTCATTAATAATCTGTATATATGTATAAATTTGCCTTGCCCACAATCATTAATTTTTCTTTATTTAAGAGAATAAACATCATATATTATGGTTGTTTATTTTAATTTTCTCTATTTACATATGTATTTGATTTTTATTATGAGTACATTGTTATACATAGAAAAACTGAAAGGATTTTATTATCCTGTTAATAATTTGTTCATAATTGACTTTATAATGGGAACATTAGAATTAACTATATGGGCCTCTTATGAGGACAATAATTTCTTTTTTATTATTAATTTAGTTTCTGTTTTATGACAAGTAATATTTTATGTATATATACTTTTTTATAAGTGGATATTAAACTGGGTGTTTTCCGAATCAAATGTGAATATTTTGCTAAACAAATTTTTTGTTGTACTTGTTTTTATTAAGCAAATTTTAATTTTAGTGGTGAATTTTAAGTTGTGGTGAATATTTTATTTAAAATAAAATCACTGTTCAATGAAATCAATATTTGTTTGAGTAGAATAACAAAATGTTGATATTCAAACAAAATCGGTTTTTCTTTTTTATTTAAGTGAAGAGTTGCCACATAGAAATTATATCTCTGGGGTATGATCACAAAATGGTTTTAAAGCGAAGTGCCAGTTGCAGCCGATTATATCTTCGGGTTATATTCGCAAAATGATTTCGAGAGAAAGTATCAGTATCATCGATGTAGAATCCGCGGTTTCTTGGTAGACGTGTACTCTAACATTAATAATTAAAATTCAAATTAGAATTAAAATGGCTGATAATGTTAGGTGATCCAACGATTGTAGGTACTGTGTAAAACAAAAACATTGTGAGATTTCTCTTTCTGATAAATTTGAATGTATAGTATGATCGAAGGTATCGAGACTGAATCAACCTATAGGAATTTTCTTTAATTGCCGATCAAAGCTCTATATATTCTTTGTATCGTTCGTCTCGGCATTGGTATTCGAGGTTCCAACAAAAAATCTTTCACGTAATATTCTATAGGTTAAGGTTTTAGCATATTACACCTGAAAACACTCTATGTACATACACTATAACCTATATAAAATGAGAAAATATATTTTTATTGTAGTAATTTTACATTATCTCTTTTATTTTAAAAAAATATGATGACTCATGTTGTATGTTGTATAATGAAAATACTTTTATTTAATATAGAATTGAATTCGTTCGCGTTTTTTAATCTGACAATGTTATAAACTAACTTAGATTATTTTTAATCACATTATTACGTGTACATTTCATATAAACTTTATATGAGAGCGATTATATTCTATATACATACATAACAGTATAATGTATAGGACAAACTTACATAATTAATCATTTTAATTTTATTAATGTCATTCTCTCACTGTTACCTACCTGTGTATTACCTTATTTATCAGTTTTTAATGATTAAAAATAGCTTATAGACATACAACAGTGTTCGTTCACTATATACTCATACATATGTATATATCATAGATTCATTCACAATATAAAAGTATAAAAATAAAACCAGAATATACCAAATAGACCAATCACTAGTAATTTAATATTATTGTTATTTATATTATCTAAACTGAATTTAATAATATAAATATATATATATAATATATTGAGTAAGCAAGTAACTATTTTCAATTCTATTTATGGTTATAAACAATAAAATAAAGTAAATATAGAACAGTAAAACAAAAAATCAAGGTAAAAAAAAATAATGGTTAATTTCTGTCTTAAAAATACTTTGTCATTTTAGTGTATACATTTTGATTTAACACGCACCACCAATATTAACACGAAATGTGTACAATACAAAAATCTAATCTTATTTTAGAGAATCAGTAGGTTATATTCAAAATAGATTTTTACTGTCTTATTCATGAACCCCAAAATATATCGAAATTTTTCATTATAAGAGTAGCAATTGTTCTATTTTAAGAAACGGCTAAAAATTTTCTTCCCATTCCAGAAACGCAGGTTTTAAATAACTATTACTCACTTAAAAATAAATTAATCAATGAAAATCTAATTAAAAAATAAATTTAGGCAAAATTCTTATGAAAATTATTAAAAATATAATATTTTGAAAAATTATGTAAAATTGCATATTTTTAGGGGCAGTAAAGAATTTTTTTCTGTTACAATTGTTTAAAATGGTGTTTAAAAATTTGCTGCTTTTATTTTTAATTAAATTGTTTTTAATGTTGCACTGGCGCCACGCTTGTTGTCAATCATTTTTAATTTTTACTGTCGCATAAAAATGTCAAATTTAATGACCATTTTGTAAAAACAAATTTAATTTTTTTAATTTCTATTTTCCTATTTTTTTATTCTCATACAACCAATTTTAATAATTATAGTTATTTAGAATTGTAATTTTATTGTTTTATATTGTATTATTCAACATTTTAATTTTTCAAAATGAAAATCGATTTAATTATAATAACATACCTTTAATATGTTTTCCCTATAATCAATTCCACCACACATTGAGGTGTATATAAAAAGAAACGTGCCTAATGCATATACGTATGTGAAATTTCATGTATTATGAAGTGTGTAGTAAATTGTAATCATTATAATATGACAAAATGTGTTATATGTTAAGTGTTAGATAGGGACCTACATATCAAAATTCATGTATAATAATAGACTCTGAGAAACAGAATAACATATTTTTAATACTCATGGCGCGTTACAATAATTATATTATGCAGTATATAGTATAGGGCAAAAGTTAAAATAATTGATTGTGTATAAAATATACATACATATCTATATTATATTAACCGTTATAATTAACTGTTATTTCATATATTGATCTGAATTAATTAAATTGTTAGTTTCTTTTTTAAGGGATTTTCAATATTCGCGTGAGTACGTATGTAATTTGTTTTTTTTTTATAGAAATGCAAATAAAAATTTATTATTCCATTTGTAACATTTTGAATTTAGTCCACAAAAAACGTAGCTACTTCTTTGAACAATGATTTTAAAATGTCAGAAAAGGTTTTGGTCCCTAATTAATTAAACTATTTTCTGTATAGTACGATGTTGCGTGGAATTTATAGAAATCCGATTCTCGATTTTGATAGAAGTTCAAAATAATTTCAAAAAAATTTCAAATTTTTTTAAAGAAAAAAAATTTAGATCTAAGAATACACAACTTACGCACATATTTTTGCCAAAAATTTTCTCAATTGAGAAAATAAACAAAAATAACTTTCCCAATTGAATAAGAATTGAGTTTTGTGAAACTTTACGAAAACAGCCGCTTTAATGTTAAGACAGCCAGAATCAAATTTTGGCCGGCATCTAAAGTTATTTTTTAATTGCTATTCTATAATCTATAATGTTTAAGTTTTAGAGTTATAAAATTAACACTGAGGTTCCCGAGGCTAAGTCAGCTTTTTTAACTTGTAGACATTGTTTCTGTTTCTGATGTTAGACATTCTGTCTGTTTCGATAACATCATATACTGAATCAAGTGAGTATGAATTACGAGGCTTTATTTAATTTTGATATAAATCAAAAGTAGCCGGCATCTAAAGTAGTTTAAGTTTCAGAATCATAAAACCAACACGAAATTTCTTATATTAGATCAAGCATTTGTCTCTAACTCATACGATTGACACAGGAGCCTACAAATATCCAAACTGTCTATTTTCTCGCAGTATACTACCGGAAAGTTAGTTGAAAAACTGTCAGAGAGTCTGCCATATTTTTCACATTACTAGCAAATTTTTGGTTTGGCCAACAATTTAGTTTAAATTCCTCAAAGTTGGTCGCAAAAGTATTTTTTTTTAATTACTTTTTTCTTCATCTTTGTTTGCCTTTTTTTTTGCTATTAAATAACAAAGTTTTTTTTCGTTTTTGCGTGTCTACTGTTTTCTTACGAATTTCTTATGTTAAAATACCTTTGTTTTATTAGACTTTCATGGTAGCCTAATTGAGGTTTTTGTTTTTAGAAATTTTATTGATTTTATTCTTGTTTTTTTTGTTTTTTTTTTTGAGATCATTAATTGATTAGTGAAATAAAATGTATATTTGTTTATAGTTTATTAACGTACAATAGAATGGCATAAGTATAGACTAGGTATTTAATTTTTATCGTATATACTTTTGTAAAAGGACTTAATTTCGTATATAAAAGAATATTAAGGATTTAAAGTTAATAAAAACACATTTGTTTATTAGACCGGAACTCATTTAAGGTTTTTTATAGGAAATCAATTAGAAAATAGCAAAAAAAAAAAGAGACGAGAATGTTTTGTTTTTTAATTTAAGGGCAAAGATCGCATATCTAAATAATGTTGAATATTTTAAATGAAAAAATGTGGACAGTATAGAGAATAAATTGTTTTTATATAGTTTGCAAGTTATTGAAAATTATTCAATGAAATTTGAGGATTGTCCTCTATATATTTTTGAAAATATATTGCTTTGGAGCCTATGACCTTAGCAAAAGAATAGAATTTTAAATGGCTTTAATCTATACTGAATAACTTTGATAATTTTATGATAAGAGAAGAATTTATAGCTTTAACCTTTACATTTTTGTAAACTATTAAAATTATTTTGTGAACAGTACGAAAATTAATTAAATTTAGAGGAATAATTAAATTCAGTAATAAATCAATTGAAATTTGTGATTTTCGTCATTCAGAACTTGATTTATAGATTCTTTTAATTTTAATTCAATTTAATCTTGAAGAATATAAAAGAGAAAATTTCAATTACTTTAGTTAATTCGTTATATTTTTAGAATCCTAAGTTAATAAATTTTTTTTTTTTATTTTTCAGTGAAATTTCAAACATTGGCGATTAAGGTGAGTACTGTTTACACTGTTGTTATATATATAGCATTTTCAGATTAAATAACCCTTTTGCTCTTCGATGTCTCCAGAGACATTGCCAATCCGCAGTCAGTTCGGAGTCCGTTAAATTCGACATATTGTATTTGCCCGGGGGTTGGAAAAAATAGATGCCTTTTCATCATCTTTCGGCTTTGCTGAGAGCATGATTGTTCTCATTGAGTGCAACCGGGTCTACCGGTTATCATTTGTGAATCGCATTACAACCACCAGATACGCTGATCACTTACACCAACCAACTAACTACAATAATGGCTGTGTAATGTTGTTGGTGATGAATTTTAGTTTCAAGAAATAGGTATCTTTCTAAAATGCATTCTACTAAATGGAGTTTTAGGTTACAATTAAAAGGATTAATGAAATTTACAGAATAAATGATTTTTTAATTTTTATAAGTGCTCTTAATCTATAAATCTACAAGTGCTCGATAATTTTTATATCGATAACTCAACGGTTTTGAAAATCCCTAAAAAGTTGATACTCTCTCAATTTCCATATGTAATTTACTTTTGTAAATGGTGTATAAAAACAACCCTTTTCTATTTTTTTTTAAATTTCCAATTCACCATTTTCATTTTTATAGCAAAAAAATTTTATTTAGTGTCTCTTTCATGCACCCCTTTTTGCTCTTGTAAATGTTAATGTAAGAATGATAAATCAACCGCTTCAATTATTTTTTGCTTACATATATTGATTATCGAAGTTGAATTAAGCATTCAACCAAATATGAAGGACTGCAGACTATACATTGAATATTTTTTATATTTCAGCTATTGATACAGTGGCTTGAGACAATATGTAAATATAATGTGGTGGTGTGATATGGGCAATTAAGGTCATTCAGATTTTATATTGAAAATTAATATGAAAATAAAAAATTTTGTTCTTTCGTTTTATTGATTTTAAAAATGAAAAATATTTTTTAATTTTTTTCTTTATCAAAATTAATAGCATATTATTCCGGAATATTTAAAATTATTTATAGTTTTTGTTTTAGTAAATAAGAAGAATTGAATGAATGTTATTTAGTCTTACATTTCAGAGAATATTGAATGATTTTAATTCCAGGAGGTTTATACTTCCCGACAAGAGGCATCAAATTTCTTGTATATTTTCTTAGAAAATGTTTTCGGATTGGGATATTTGCTCCTGTAACTCGAACCTTAACTTCTCGCAAGATGTCACTATCTTAAATAGCCTGCAGGAACCATCACTTTCCAAGCTTTAGCGTTTTATCAATATATTAGAGAGCATTTAATGTACCCCATTCTAATATTAACAGTGCTTCTTTAGTCACAATTACCCAGATGCTTCTTTAACTTTCTTTATATCGGACGGCTTTTCTGCACCTGCGTTCTTGTATTGCTTTTATTTTCATACCCATTTGACAGTTAATTAAAAACTTAAAAACTGCATTAGAAAAAATTTTTGTTTTAATAGTCTACGTATAACTGCTGAAATAATTGAATAATTTTAGTCTGCAGAACAAGAATTCATAAAAGATTTACGTAAAAATACAAAAAAATAATTGAGATAAATTTTTTATGTTTCATTTTAATGAAAAAAAAAATCTAATTCTTACTATTTTGGACTTTAATCTTAATTTGAGAAAAAATGAAACGTGGAATGATGATTGTGCCGTTTTGATTCATGCACGTACATTTATTTAGTTTTTCTCTCTAATACAATTCAGAACTTTTAACTTCCTACTTTTTTTTCATGTTCGAAAACAAGGAAGAAAAAAACTTAATGTGTTTTTGCCTCTTCTCCTTTTTCCAATTTCTCTTTTATGCTTTATTTTGTTTCCCTTGTTTTCTTTTTTCTTCTAAAGTTCCTGTTTGCATCACTTTCGGACAACAAAAATATTCTTACAATCAAGGTAAGGATATTTTTTTTTCGTGTTGTTCTGTGTCTGTGTACAAAAGAAAGAATGAATTTCAAATTGTTTTATTAATACAATAACGAAAATAAAAAATAAAAAACAATATTCTGCTTTAATAATGTGTATAGGGGCTAGAGCAATTTAAAATAACACAAAACAATTGTAACTTCAATTTAAAAGCAGGTTAACAAGTACACCCCTAATTGTAGACTATTAGAGTGTAATATATGAAAAATATTTAAAACAGACGGCATAAGGTTGGGAAATTTTTGTATTTTATTAGAAAATTTTTTTTATTTCAATAAAGTTAATTGAAATCGTTTGAGCAAGATAGGAGTTAATCCAAATGTATTGATTCCTATTTGTTGTTTTCTTTTCACCTCATAATGTCCAATAATCTTATTTATTCAGTCGTTGGTTATTAGAGACAGGAGATAATGATTATATCGAATGACCCAGTTGCCATTGGAGCGCTGAATTCATTGTCGGTATGCAGTGTGGCATTGTGGCGTTGTTACTCTGTGCTAGATGTCAGGTTGTATAAGCGTAGAACGAAATTAGATAGTTGTCACGCCGGTGAGGAGCCAGATGTTGAAAATTCTTGAAGCGCTTGTGTGGAGTTATACAGTTATATACTCTTAGGAACTAAGAATGAAATCAGAGAAAAGACGGTCGAAAAGTTGAAAAACTAATACAGAGCAGCGGCATCTCCAAGGAGCTTCTCAGTAATTATGACCAGAAGCGTTTTAAGAAAATTAAAGGATTAGCCAAGAATCAGGTGACTTCACTTGGGTCTTGTCGAGGCTTTACGGTGTTATTGGGCATCTCAGTTAGTTCGGGTTCGAAAGTAAAGGAACTTGTACATTGTGTGGAAAGATAAAGGGATCTTGAACTTCTGATTTCCAGAAGATTATAATATTTGATTATAGATTGTATTGTTTTCTCGTATACTTTACCATCATGGAGAAGAGTACGGTTTTCCAGGCCTCATAAAATGCTCCAGTTCATCAGGAAGTGTATGCCATGCTCTAAGATGGAGGGAGAGAAAATATTATTATACGCAGTCGCAGTGAACTGTTACCGCGGTTGCACAAATCTACAAGCTCTAATTACTAGAACTTAATACGAAGCGAATTTTATTAGCATCAAAATTATACATGCAAAAATACAGTCTAGGACATATTTAAATGCATATACGTTTAATAAACATATAGTGAATAATAAAAAATTACCATTCAAAAGTAAAGAATAAAAAAAAAAAGATGTTAGTTTTGTCCGAATTATAAAAATTATGGTTTTGAATGAAATTTTTGTTTCGTCTACAAGAACGTGTACCCAACATAATTTAACTATATGACTTATAATAACTTATTCACAGTTAAAGACTGACTTTCAAAGATGGTAATTGCTTTTTAACAAAAAAAAAAAATCTCACTTTACAAGCTTATTTTATTGTTTTTCATTTTATGTATATTTTTGCATTGTGAATGCACCGTCAAAAGTTTTATTATGAAATTGTGAACCCAATTTTTCAATTTCCCCCCTTAAAGTATGTAAGAGAGAAATGAAAAAAAAGCAACAACAACGAGAAAAAAAAAAACAAATAAAAATTTTCAAAATTGCATTATTAAAATTGACGACAAACTAATGGTGATGACGTTTTTCTTGATAAAAGTAATGTTGATGATGATGATGATTATTGTGATGATGATGATATTATTTGATAGTGATGATTATAATTATAGTGCTTTTTTACTATAAAAAAATTATTTCAAAAAAAAAAAATAAAAAACAAGAGAGAAAAATTACTTTACAAATAATGCAAACAGTGTGTTGTGTAGGTATGCAAAATTTTTGTGCATTCATCATTGTGTCGTGCATAATACTTTCGAAAACAATTACACATAAACATGAGCACTTTAATATATATATATATACGTATAAAGAGAGATTTGCTGTTTTTCAAAATGAATAATGACTTTTTCTGCTTGCATTTTCACCTCTTTTCAAATACAATTTGCACAACAAAATTTTTATTCTTATAAATTTTTTGTGTTGTTCCATAATGATTTTCACTCTTATATAAATTATGTTTTTAGGGAGACTTTTAACACAAAAATGAACATTTCCAAGTGAAAAATCGCTTCATGTTTTGATTTTACCTTATTTTGTTTTTCTTATTCATTTCATTCTTTTTATACTTCTTATAACTAACTCACCATTTCTATATTATAATTCTCCTCTAATGAAAAACAACATACCTTAGACTTTTAAATTTAGGAATGTAGAAAAAAAATTACTGAAAATATTTCAAAAAGAAAAAAAAATAATGCAAATATACAAGAAAGCGAAAAAAGAGAAATGAAAAATTGTACGATTAACATTTTTACATTTTACTTAAAATAACATGCATAAATTTTTTTTAACTGTAATTTATATTATGTGAAATATTGTTTGATTATTATTAATTGATCCAAGAGTCAGCCGGATTGGACACATTAGAATATTTAAATCAATATTTTAATAAATTTTTTAATAACATTAGAAGTTTTTAATGAGGTTAACAATTAAAAAAACAATGAATTAAAAATTTATAAAAAATTGCATACTTTCCGGAGAAAGTTTAATCCGGTGAGAGAAAGAGAGAGAGAGTCTTCAAGTCGGCAGACGATTATTACGCGATATTTTGACATACCGTAAATAATTCGCTGCTTGTCTCAATTTGTGCAAGTTATATCTCAGTCTGTGATGTTTAGTGGGAAACATATCTTTGGACAATCAGAGACAAGAAATTTGGCTTATCTCCTACTGGACCCTAAAAGCTGTATGACTTTTCTGGGAAAAGCTTTGTCTGCCTCATTTAGAGAACGCGGCTTTCAAAGTTGCTATCGCTGTTTTGCTCACCCCCAAGTACCTTCATATAGCATCTCGATAGATAGAAAGGTTAATTATAAAAATGTCCTATCTCAGGATGAAGTAGATGTATCATTTCAAAATATGCATCTGTTGTTCACAGACACCCATATCCGTCGAGACTCATGACTTTAATCTTTTTAAGGTCGCCTGCTAACAA